CACAGGCTCAAGATGCATTTTTTTCCCTTTGCATTCACAACAGCTATTCCAGAGAAAGGGAGATTTACTTTCTGGTACAAGTAATCACAATTCCATAATGTAGAGATTAAAGACATGTAGAGTCCCCAGCTGCTATGGGGCTTGACTCTTTTGTAAAGGAGCAGAGCATAAATGAACTGACAATTTCTCCAGATGTCTCTAAAAACTGCCTGTCCAACAGTCTATCAATCTTTGTTACTACCTCTGATACAGCCCTAGAGGAGAACTTAATATTAGTAATAGTTTACAAAATTGATATATCACCTAATTCTCAATGACCCTGGGTGGCTCACAACAATAAAAAAAATTACAATTAAATCAAGCACAAGTAAAATATTAAGATAAAAGATGACCAGCTCAGTGATACGAGGGACCTCTCATCAAAGACCTAGGTGAAGAGCCAGCTGTTTTTGGCCTTCTGAACAACAGCCATCCAGATCTTGGAGGGTACCTATTTCTACTTGACAGTTGCGGCTAAAGACAAAGTGAAGAAGGTGCTGCCTTCTGTAGCACTCTGCCAGCCAAAATGGGCCATGGAAATAGATGTATCTTCTAATGAGCTATTTAGTAAATGATTTGAAAGACGATATAGACACTTTGCTGTATGGGAGCCTAGTCAGTTTTGACACAACTGTATGTTATGCTGCTGCCAAATGATCAGACACCATCTTGGAGGAGAAAAAAGAACAAATAAATGAATCAAATGTGAAAAATTAGATCAGCTTCAAGAGGCAGAGTCTCAAGGTTTAGATACAATACTTTCCTCAGTATTTCAAAACTTAGCATTGGTTCTCCTTATCTGGATTTAGAAGCTTTGCAGTTAAGACTGGTTAATATTTAGGTAGAAATAAGGTGTGGGGGGGGAAATAACCCAATCTTGTAGGGTACCTAGTTCTGGTTGGCAGATGCTGTAATCAGAAGGTGAAGAAGATGCTGCTTCGTGCAGCAGTGCCAGCCAAAATGGGCCACAGGGCATCCCTTTGACCTACACAGCCTCCTGCAGCATTCTTCTGGCCAAAATGGGTCATGAGGGGGGCCTCAAGAGTGCTGCAGAAGGCTGTGGAAGCCAAAAATGGGGCGTGCAGGGGCCTCACAAGCCCCCCCTCATGGCCCATTTTTGGCTGGCAGAGTGCTGCAGGAGTCTATGGAAGCTAAAAACAGGCCCTGGGGGGGCTGCATGTGGCCCCCCATGCTGGCCCTTTTGGACAGCAAAGGCATTGCAGGTTGGTTCTTTGATATTTCCAGGCCGGCCCTGCGAGCTGCATCTGAACAGCCCATCGGCCTTGAGTTTAACACCCCTGTTCTAGGTACTAAAATCTATTGAAAAAAATAGAATTTATGGATGACCAAACATAGGTAGAATTATGTTGTTTGGATTATTGTTTGGGTGCATAATTTTGTAAAATATTCTAATGATTATATAATAACTTTGGAGTAATTCAATATTTATTTATAAAACATGAAACATGATGAAATGCATATTAATTCAAAAACTGGATTACTTTACCTACTGAACCAGAAAATATGAAACAGCTTCTCACAGTTTTGCCATGCATCTTCTGCAATGGAGGAAAGAGTACACTACTTCTTTCCTTGAGGGAAATTGATTCTATATATTCCTCTGCATCCAAAACATGATTATTTTGGGCTGTAGACTTTCTTTCATTAAATTTCATCCTCTGACATTACCCCGCCTGCAGATACAGTTAGGGAGTGGTGTTTATACTAAAATCATAATCTATTAGATTTTTCTGTCTTCTAGAAAAGTAATGTTAAATTCAGTTATATGATAGAGTATGCTTCAAGAAGATTATGGATTAAATCCAGATTTAATTATGCTTAGTTGTAGCCCTTGACATGAGTAAGATTTAAATATGCCTGCAAATATATATATATGGCATATATATATATATGGATTCAATTCTATATATTGAAAGCTTCTGAAAAAAATTCCTGTTTACTAAATTATTTTTCCCAATTATGTTTGTGCATTCATTCATTTTATTTACAATTGACTTGGAAAAGGAATCCCCAATCTGTTTAGGTGGTAGGCAAATTTTGAATTTGAGAATACATTATTGCTCTTTCACAAAAAGGCTGCAATAGGAGATATGGTGACTTGCTAGACTTCTATTTACTATAAAGGAAGTCGTATGGTTGCACTCCACTATCGTTTAGTTTACTCTGCATTTTTTCTGAGCAGGTGAGCACACTTAAAAACAAGGTACTGGCATACAATTATTTATAATCTTTATTTCTTAAAAACATTTCTTGGGTATATTTATGACTCCAAAAGTTGCTAGAAATAAATACAATGTTGAGGGTGTTGTTTTGCTCTGCAGCATGTTAGTTTCTTGCTTATTTAATTAAATTAATTGAAATAAATTGATTAGGTGCAGGTATTTATAGAGATATTCATAAAAGATATCCATAAAAAGAGATATCCTGAAAGTGCCATCTTAAATAATAGTTAGAATATAGATAAAAATTCTGCAATTGTCACCTTCAGAATGTTGTTGCCTACTTCATTGAAGTTCTATAGTGTATTTTTCGATTGAAACATGGTTTGACTTAAATGAAGGTTTGGACTAGAAACTTTCCAAGGTTCCATCCAGCCCTATGATTCTATTATTCAATGAGAATGGTTAAAATAAACGATTCTATATGAATGCGTTTCTAGACTGCATACTAAAATAGCATTTTCCTCAGTGTTTTGGATAATACATAAGCAGCATGTTTGTCACGAAAACTTTCTATTGTGTTTTAGAGCCTGAGGGCTCAATTTGAACTGTGGCTGGCAGAAGACATCTTCCTTTCTTTATATTAAAAAATTCTTTTGTATTTCTTTGTTTTTCTAAGCCACTGAAAAGCTGGAGCAAACAATTTATAATTGTTATTTTAGGGAGATTAACACATCAATCATTGACATGGTTTTTAAACGTGCCCTACCAATTATTACCATTTTAAAAATGGCATTAATTTTGAAGTTCTAAAAGCAGTTATTAATGATAATTAAAAAGAAGACCATGATTTTTTTGCAGGACAATGCTCCATCACATGCATCGAAGTATGCATGGCTAGCCAGTAAAGGCCTTAAAGATGAAAGAATAATGACATGGCCCCCTTCCTCATTTGATCTAAACCCTATTGAGAACTTGTGGGCCCTTCTTAAATGGGAGATTTACAGTGAAGGAAAACTCTGAAGAGTGTCTGAGTGTCTGAGAGCCTGCACAAAAAGTTGATCAGCAACAGATCGAGAAACTGACAGACTCCAGCTTATGGCTGTTAATGAAAAAAGGGTGGCTATATTGATCGCTGATTTTTTTAAAAATGTCAGAAATGTTTATTCGTACATTTTGAGTTTATTATTCTTACATTAACAGATGCAAATAAATGAGTGAGATTGGGCAAATTTTCATTTTTCATTTAGTTGCATAATAATTCTGCACACTAATAGTTGCCCAATAATTGTGCACACATAGATATTCTAAGAAAGCCAAACCTCACTTTTACTTTCTTAAATATTCAGGTTTGAAGTTTATTAACATTTTGGATTGATCAAGAGCATTGTAGTTGTTCAATAATAAAAATAAGCCTCCAAAATACCACTTGCCTAATAATTGTGTATGTCTCTGCAAGTCTGACTGTTGTGTAGTTTCTATCATCATCACTACTTTGTTCTCTTAACAGTAGACCATATCTGAGAATGTCTCATAGTGTTGGGTGTTTAGATGGCAACAAGACTCTGCCAGTCCCAATTAGGCTGCTTATATGAGTGAATGTTTCCAGTCTTGTTCTTTTTTTAGAAGCCATTGCAGATCACTCTCACAGGAAATGAGATCAGCAGTATTAACACTCTCAGACCAAATAACATTTAACAAAAAGAGAATGACAGCTGAACCTGTGAAATGAAACACAACATGTTAATAAGTTATGATATTTATGTACTTATCAAGCTCATCTAAATTATATTGAAGTAACCAAAATATCTTTACAATCCCCAAGGCGTGTACCAACTTTTGAGCACCTCTAATGTTGGAAATTGAAAGTTGAAAAAAGTGACATGCCTTAGACTACCTTAGGGAGATGGAAGAGGCCCTGAGAAGGCTTCTTGTAAGTGTTTCCTTGCTCAGGGTCTGAAAATCCTTTGGGGATTCTGCAGGGAGGGTTTTTAGCTTCTGAACAGGGAGGCAGCATAGTAACATAAGAACCACAGGGTGCCCTCAGGGGAGTTGGGAGGCCCTAACAGGCCGCAAACTAGTATCTCTCTGCTGAGGGGCTGAAAATTATGTGTAGATTCTGGCAGGAAGGATTTTTTAGTTTCTGAATGGAGATGGCCTGCACCAGACCTCCCAGGTACTTCCCCACCCTTCTGAGGCAACCTTCACTCTTTATCTTAGCTTTTACTTAATGACTGTGAGATCACTTAACCACAACTGGGAGTGCAGAGCTTGTACTTGTTGACTGAAGCAGTCACATGAGATCTCAGTTAGCAATGAAATGATTCTAATCCCAATTTTGGTTGTAAATTGAGAATCGCCAGTATGATTGATCCTTACCCAAGGGATATGCACAGATTAGATTACCCCCTCCCCCCAGGGTAGTCATCTTCAGTTTTAAAATAATTTGTTTAGACAATATGCTCATGTATTATTATTTTTTTCTTTTAAAAATAGTTGATGGGAAAATTACGACTATTGATAGCTAAATTATAACTATAATTACTATAATATATATTATTCAAGCCTTTCTATATATCACCTATGGTTTAGTATTAATTATAAAATGTAAGCACATGAAAATGTACCTAATCGATGCACAATTGAAGTTGAATGGATTTATTGTATATTAAAAAAAATTAAAAAATTTCTTGGATCTATGGTTTAGCCTTATGAATTGATTTGTCTGTTTAAATGTGGGTAGATTTTTGTGACTAAAATTTACCTGATTTGTTTCTGTAGGGTGTACCTCAGTTACCTTGTGCCAAAGCATTATATAACTATGAGGGGAAAGAGCCTGGAGATCTTAAATTCAACAAAGGTGACATCATCATATTACGTCGGCAAGTTGATGAAAATTGGTATCATGGAGAAGTTAATGGTATCCATGGATTTTTTCCTACCAATTTTGTCCAGATAATTAAACCATTACCTCAACCTCCACCTCAGTGCAAAGCACTTTATGACTTTGAAGTTAAGGACAAGGAAGCTGACAAGGATTGTTTACCCTTTTCAAAGGTAAAAATTTATAGATATGTTTTCATAGTCTCAGTAATGTTGAAATACTTGTTAGCCTACAAGATTATCATGAATCAAATGTTATAATTTTTCATCTTACTATTAACTTTTTCTGAAGAAAATCAAAGTTATATTAATTTTAAATTAAATATATAACTTTAAATTATCTTGGAGAAATTGTATTTGAACCTCATTTTCCATTTCCAAGATTAACACTCTATTGTGCATATTGATAATTCAAGATAAATTAGAATTTGTGATATGTTTTTTGTGAAATATGTAAATAAATATTTATAATATGTCCTTTGCTGTGTACCAGTGGTGGTACAATGCTACTGGTTCGGCCCAGATCAGCTGAACTGGTAGCAAAAAAATCCCCTCCAACGATCAGCTGAGAGGAGAAAGAAGAGAAAAGCACAGGATCGGCCCTCCCATCTACCCCTGCGCTTTTCTGTTCTTTATCCTCTCAACTGATTGGTGTGGCAGAGCCACAGCTGGTGTTTGGAAAGCTGCGCGCGTGTGCACACATACGTGAAGTGTGGGATCACTGAACTGGTAGGAAACTGGTAGAATCCACCACTGCTGTGTATAGTATATTTTGTGTAGGTAAACTATTAGCTTGCTTGCTAGATTTTTTTCATGGTCCAGGCATAGTTATACCATGAGCCTTTTAGAATCAATATTGTGTTGGGCCAGGTAGGCTTCTGATTTATTTATTTTGTGATCCTCCAAATATAATTTAAACAAAATACTCTCAGGAGCCTCATACAGTAAAACCAATGATAAATGATGCTGAGATATGAAAGCTAGCAATGTCTTAAAAGCCAGAATATCTGATTCTGTGTTTGAAGTTTTCTTAGTGTCTTTATTATGGACATTTCCTTGTTCATTAATCCCTAAGAATATTGCATGTACATACATTGAACAGTTGGTACCTAAGTGTTATAGCTACTCATAACAGCAACTATAACGTATTATAGAATTCAGATATACTGAGATCTGTACACTAATGCCAAAGAAAAAGCAGCTGAGTTGCTATTACCCAGCAATTGTTTTATCTGATGATTGGTTAGCTCCTCGAATGCTTTTCAAATTCTTAATAATGGGAATATACTATTGTAAGAAATGTTCATCTGAGAATATGAAAGTTGACTTTTTAAAAATCCCAATAGTCTGAATGTCAGGAAAATAAAATAAAATGTTTAATTAGAACTTTCCTAACTTTTATTTTCTTCTTTTACATCCAGGATGATATTCTTACTGTAATTCGCCGTGTAGATGAAAATTGGGCTGAAGGAATGTTGGCTGACAAAATTGGAATATTTCCTATTTCATATGTTGAGGTGAAAGAATCTTAAGTTTCTTTATTGTTGAATTAATGTGAATATACACACAAACACACTTTATCCTAAATTTCTTTTACTTTGTGCTGCATAAATGAATAGAAAATTTCTAGACATTAATCAAATAACACATTTTTTTAGCACATTGAATCATTATTTATTTAGCGTATAATATGAACATGACAGATGAGGGAATGTGATGCTAGTTCACCTCGTGGTGCACCCTGGATAGCATGGTACTGTGAACCAAATGACTAACAACAATTGGCAGCCAGACTACATTGAAAAATTGGCAGTTTAACGACAGATGGCAGCCAGACTTGTAGAACTCCTGGCTCTCTAAATACATGGCAATGGATATCAGATGCTGAGCCTAACAGCACTTCTTGAGGCTAGTTTCCAGCGAGGTTTAAAAACTATAGCTGTGTTCATTGACCTTACTGCAGCATTTGATATCGTATGGAAGAAGGGTCAAACTGAGTCACATCATCCTCTGTAAAATCCTCTGTCACCTAAAAACCACATGCTCAATGATAGATCCTTGCAGATCATTATGGGGAACAACTCGGAACAAGATCCATACCTAACATGGTGTCCGCCAGACTCATTGTTTAAGTGGGGTCTTGTCTCTACCCCTCAGTGTGACTCTGGTGCTCCTCGACAAAATATCCATCACATTGTGTCTAAATGTTCATCAAGAGCTTTCACTGGCCCAATGTCTGATATCTTCCATAGGGATCACCCTGTCCTTGAATGGCAGGGTGGACTGGACATTTACATTTGAAATACTATAAGTCCATGTATTTGCCATACACTAAATAAATAAATGACAGATGAGAAGTAAACATATATGCAATCCATGTAATTATGTACAAAACTTCTACTAGAATATGGCAGTGACCTCATAACTGGATGTCTAATTCAGCTATCCAGGTGATCATCTTTGGCATTGCTTTGTGCAGATCTTCTAAGGAACCAGAGAATGCATGTTGTGGGCAATCTTTCACAATATATTTAATAGTTAAGGAGAATCTTTCCATCCATACAGGGCAGAGGCACTTCTTCCAGTATCACATCTAATTCTGTTCAGTTTTGTTCAGAGCGAGGCAGATCAAAACAAGATAGCATTCTTTCCAGAGTCTCATCATTTTTTTTTTTATTGTGGTGACCAAAAATTGCAGTATTCCAAGTGTTGTCTTGCCAAGGCCTTATAAAGCTATGTTGGAGAAGGAGGGCAGGCCACTTGCATCTGGGCTTTATGGCTGTCTCCCGGAAGAGGCCACCATTTTCTGCATTCCCACATTTCCTTGTGTCACACTGAAATAGACAGCTTCTGGGAGGCTGTCATGTGACTCAGAGTTGAACTACTCTATTTTGCTTCCCTAAAGCGGTCTGTACAGCACTGAGAAAAAGCTCTGGAGATCTTCAAAAAGTAACTCTGCAATGAGTGAGTGGTTGGGGAGAAGACCCAAGAACTATGGGGATCCCCAGGAGCATGGGTATGTCAAGGGAGGCCTTGGGAGTCCCAGGCAGGATAGCCTAGGCTTCCCAGGTCTTTTCCCATCCCTGAAGAACCATGTGCTTTGTTTAGTGACCCACACATTCATTTAACGGAGTAGGAGTTGTAAAACAAGGTCATTTCACTTAAAGGCCATCACTACTTGCAACCATAATGGACAGTCTTTATTACAATCATAGATTGATTACTAAAGTTTATACAGGTTGATTATGTATTAAAATTAAACAGCATCTCTCTGAAGAAACAGAGATCAACCTAGGCTCTATCAATGAACTGCCCTTAGCTTCTTATCAAGAAATCAAATCTCAGTTATCTATATGACAGACATATATGCTTACCTCTTTATCAGGAAAAAGTAAAAGACTAAAACTGATTACTAGTAACATTTGAATATTAACAAGTTTGCACAGTAATTTTCAGTATTCAGATTATTTTAAACTTTTAATCACATGCCATAATAAATACAGAATATTTATGAAGTTGGCTAAATTCCTAGGAAGTGAATTGTTTAGAATTATATTCACTTCAACATAGATAATTTGGCCAGTGTTATTCCTGCTATAATGAATGTTCGTAATAGTGCTCTTTAAATAAGATTTAATGTTTTCACCTTAGTTTAAATTACAGTATTCACATCCTTAGCAAAAGTTCCAACCAAATTATGGGTTAGAAAAGCTTACCTTTATCTTTCTGTGCAGTAGCTTGCCCACACAATGAAAACAACATGAGACATGGTTTCTCTGTGCAGTTCTGATTTTTCAGAAATTTGATCTTATTTATTTATTTTAATAAACTTTATTGTTCTTTTACATTTTTTTAAATTAATCATAATATAAACAGTACTGTAGCATCAGTATTATACATATTTATCTCTTATGCATATTTACATTTATATACATTCTTATACAATTATATACATTTGTCTATAGTTTGCTTATCTTAAGGTTCTTTATTTTCTATTGACCTAGTTTCCAGCCAATTATACCATATATCCAAAATTTTATGATATTCAGACGCTTCTTTATTTTTTAGTTTTAGGGTCAATTTGTCCATTTCAGCACAATCCAAATTTTTTTGAATTACCAATTCATCAGGGGGGATGTTATGTTTTCAACATTGTGCGTACAATATACTAGTCGCAGTTAATATGTGTAATAAATATATTTAATCCTTTTCTCATGTTTCTTTCTAAATATTCCTGGCATAAATAACTTCAGTTCAAATTCTATTTGTTCTTTAATAATTTCTTGTAACCATTGCCTTATTTTGGTCCAATACCTTTGAGCTTCTGAACAGGACCACCACATGTGGTAAAAAGTACCTTATGTCTTTTTACACTTCCAGCATGCTGGATTCATGTTGGGATACATTTAAATTAAAGCTGCTGCCTTATAGTAAAGCTCCCAACCTGGAGTCCAAAGCCACCTATGCTTCTACTGTCCTGCAGCGCTTTTATTTTTATTCTGTGTTTTTTCTCTGGCCATATGAATTTAGCCATAATTTTGTTCATCTCTGTAAAAAAATTTCTCTAATTTTATGGGGATTGTTTGGAATCAATACAAAAATTTAGATAAAATAGTCATTTTTATCGCCACAATTCTCCCTAATAGTGATAATTGTAACTTCCTCCATAGTTCCAGATCTATCTTTGTTTGTTGTAGGAGTTTCATATAATTATTTTCTTTTATTGTTGTACATTTTGCAGTTAACCATATATTTAAATACTTAATTTTCTTTGTCGTTTGAAGCTCATTACTCTTTCTAATTCTTTTTTCTGCTGTTCTGTCAAATTCTTAGTCAACATTTTAGTTTTTTGTCTATTAATTTTAAGGTCTGATACTTCCCCACATTTTTCCAATTTAATAATTAACATGCTTCCTTTCTCTATAAGACCTTATATAAAAAATACCAGGTCATCAGCAAAAGCCTGTAGTTTATACTCCTCCTTTTTAACTCTAGTTCCTTTTATATCCATATTTTGTCTAATTCATATTAATAGGCTTTCTAGCGACAGAATGAAGAGCAGAGGGGACAGTGGGCAGCCCTGCCTCACTCCTTTCATTATTTTGAAGGTCTCCGTATTTTTACCATTTAGTACGGGGTCGCCAACCGGTGGGCCGTGAGAAAATTTTGGTGGGCTGCAAAGAAATCTTACTCCCAGAGCACCCCCCAAAGCAATTAATCCAGGCTGCGCAGAAGCACAAGGCTGCGCCACCCACATGGCCCGCAGGAACCCTCCCCGCCACTCACTCCTTACCCGGCAAACTTGCCTGCTAAATTGTTATTTTTCCTTTTTCTGACCATCAGCTGTTCTGCTGTGCCCGGAGATTTAGACTAGCTAGGAAGCAGGAAATGGTTGGATTCTTGCTTCCTAGCTAGTCTTTAGATCTTTGGCTCTTCTTTTAAGCACAGCTGAACCTCCCTTAGAACTGAAGGTTCTATTATTCAGTGCAGACTCACGGCAAGCAAAGTTCATGTGACAGACTGAGCTAGCTGATGGCAGATAGATCACTGAATGATTCTGTGAGCAACTCAATCTGCCTGCCTGCTTTGTCTAATTTTGGGTAAAAGTGGCTTTTTTAAAATAAAAAATTCAATATTTGCATACATGGTGTGTTGTGAGTTAATTTTGTGAGCTTGCTTGCTAGCAAATTTTATGAGTTTGCTTGCAAGCAAATTTTATGTGACAGACTGAGCTAGCCAATGGCAGATAGATAGATCTCTGAATGAATCTGATTCTGTGAGCAACTCAATCTGCCTGCCTGCTTTGCCTGATTTTGGGTAACAGTTGCTCTTTTTTTATAAAAAATTCAATATTTATATAAATATTTATAATATTTACATACAAGCCATGCCCAGCCAGTCACATGACCACCAAGCCACACCCACAAATTAGGTCACACCCACAGAACCGGTTAATGGTCCCTGGGATTTAAAATTATATGAGTTTGGTGGTCCCTGAGGTCCAAAATGTTGGCGACTCCTGATTTAGTAAGATGTTCGCCTTTTGAGTGGAATATATTGTCTTTATTATATTATCAAATTTATCACCTAAATCCATATTTTTAATTTGTTGCATTATAAATTGCCAATTTAGATTGTCGAACTCCTGTGCATCCAGAAAAACAAGTGCCACTTATTTCTCTGGATGTGCCTCATAGTATTCCAAAATATGCAACACTATCCTTGTATTGTTCCTAATTTGCCTTGATGGAAGAAATCCGTTTTGGTCGGGGTGAATATATTCATTTAATAATCTTTTCAATCTGTCTGCTATTATAATTGTAAATATTGTATAATTGGCGTTCAGCAATGATACTGGTCTATAATTTTGTATTTGTCTACTATCAGTACCCTCCCTTGGTATTAGTGAAATGTATGCTTCCCTCCATGAATCCGGCATTTTGGCTTCTGTCAGTACCTCATTGTACAATTCTAACATTAATGTTTCTATCTGTTCACCCATCATCTTATACATTTCCCCTGGAAGACCATCTGGGCCTGGAGTTTTATTATTTTTCTGCTTTTTGACCTCTTGTTTCAGTTCTATCATTGTTATTTCTTTAGATAAGCTGTCCCTCATTTCTTCTGTTATTGGTAGACTCCCTTCCCCTTTCAAATAGTTTATTATATTCTCTTCCTTTATTCATTTTTATACAGGCCCTCAAAGTATTGATCTGCAATTCTTTTTTTCTTCCATTGTATGTTGAAATTCTCCATTCTCATCCTGAAATTGGTGAATTATCTTTTTCTCTCTCTCTTTCTTTAATCTATAAGAAACCATCTTCCGAGTTTATTTGCTTGCTCAATGAAATTTTGTTTAAGTGCTTTTAAATTATTTACCATATCTTCTTTCAGATTTTTACAGTGATAGATTGACTTTTGGGAAAAAAATGTTTAAATGGGCTTTGATACCATATCTTTCCATAGTTTTCCTCTATTGCCTTATAACTGGCAATAAAGAGGTTAACGTTTACGGATAACTGGCAGCCTTTGTTTTTATGTATGTGATGTGTATGTACTGTATATTGATGTGTGGTTTTTTTCTGGAAGTCTAACATTAATTTTTTCTCTTTAATTAATTAATTAATTAATTTTTTCTGAGAATGTAAACAAAATTTAAATTTAATTGCAGATAAAAATTGCCTTTTTCCGCATCTATCTACACCTCATAAGATTAGAGGTACAGATTACTTAAGCAGACACCATATCAACTTGAATCCTGTTTTCTATGATTTAGAAATCAAGCAATATGTGGTGGTACTTTGTGATATGATTAAACACAAAGATTACTTTAGAGGTATAACTATGATCGCACTAATTCACTTTACAGATTTTTTCAATATTATAAAACAATCAGTGAAAAAGAGAATAAAGATTCTAATTCTTCTCTAACATTTACATACATAGAACAGCTAAATATAATGAATTACAAAACATTCAGGATTGATACAAAAATAAAAATGCACTATATGTAATTACAATGAATTAATACAGTTTTTCTTTTAATCAAATTATAGGGTTAATACTTATGGTTATTGTCTTGCAGTTTAACTCAACAGCAAAACAACTTATTGAACTAGACAAACCATCAGTTTCTACAGTAGATTCTGGAGAAGGCACTTCTGGTACATCTCATTGCAATTCAGTTCAAAAGCATACTGAGGTAAAGAAGAACACAAAAAAACGCCATTCTTTTACTTCCCTTACCATGTCCAATAAGGCTTCACAGTCTTCTCAAAATCGTCATTCAGTGGAAATCAGCCCTCCTGTTCTCATCAGCTCCAGTAATCCAACTGCTGCAGCACGGATAACTGAGCTTTCAGGCCTTTCTTGTAGTGCACCTTCTCAGGTAATTATAAGTGGAAATCAAGGTATATCATAGTTTTTTAATGACAATTTAAAATATTGCCAAAATAAATGGGATATGATTCTTAGTCATCCAAGTCATAGATGTCCCAACGGTGCTTTTTCAAGAGGCAACTAGACTTTCTTGTTTTTCTTTGAAGATGTTTCACTTCTCATCCAAGAAGCTTCTTCAGCTCTGACTGGATGGTGGTGAATGGAAGGATTTATAGTACTCCTTGCAGACAGCTGGTCGTTTGCATTGTTTTAGAGAGTCGTTGAGGTTTATGTATGTCATCAGGGCCACTTAAGTAGAGCAAATGGGTGTGGAACCTTTTTGGAACTGTTTTTTTTTAATGTTGTGTATGTGTTTGTTCGTTTATTTTAATTGTATAATCAATAAAGTTTGCTTTAAAAAAATAAAGAAAGACTGTGTTGTAGACTGGAGATAGATGATGTCGTATCCCCCCCCCCCCCCCGTTGAGAGAGGGCTGTTCAGTTTTGACATAGATGGCCTCTTTGACCCCTCTTTCAAACAAGTGGTCCTCTCTGTCCAAAATGTGGACTTTGCTATCTTCAAAAGAGTGAGTGGCCTTTGTCTTTTAAATGCAGATGGATTGCTGAATGCTGGTGGTTTTGTTCTCCTATGTTGTACATTGGGAAAACAAAGCAACCGCTTCATAAACACATGGCACAAAATAAGAGAACAAACCCATCAGGACAGAGCTGAAGAAGCTTCTTGTATAAGAAGTGAAATGTCTTCAAAGAAAAACAAGAAAGTCCAGTTGCCTCTTGAAAAAGCACTTTTGGCACAGCTGTTCTTGCTTTTTACATAAGGTTTTTTCCTCAGTTTAAATAGGTTATCTTTTACATGTTTTCTAGCTAAAGTTTAAAATAGTTTTAATACTAAAGTAAATGACATTTAAATAATGTTGGTTACTTTAAAATTTTGTGATTAATATCTTCCAAATATAAACAGATTGGAATGATTGTTTGCCTTTCCCAAATTGAAAATTGGAGGAGCATTTGGGTACAAATAGTCCTTGACTTACAACTGTAATGAAGCCCACTCATAGTAATAAGTCATGACAGTCATAAAGCGGATGACCAACCCAGTGTTTCAACTTTGTTGAAGCTTGCTAAAAATGCTATTTGAAAGTGATACCCAGTCAACATTGCAATCTAGTACACAGTTTGTTTATTCAGTATAAAATTAAGTATTAAAAATTCAAACATTAAAATTACCAAAATGGATAAAAGAACCATTGTTATTATTATGTATTAATAATATTAATAAATCTCATAAAGAAACCTAAAATATATTAACAATAACATTTATTTGTATTGCACATTTGTGCTTAAAAATGAAATGCATATAAATTTAAGACCAGAAATATTTTATATTAAATATAAAACTAATATTTTGTTGTAAAAGTATTTCACTTCGTTCACTTACAGAATGAATGGATTTTCTGGATTGGACATTAATTATGTTTAATGTATGTGCTGTTAATAGGTTCACATTAGTACCACAGGATTAATTGTAACCCCACCACCCAGCAGTCCGGTAACAACAGGACATTCATTTACCTTTCCACCTGAAGTCACTTACCAAGCTGCTTTTGCTGTGAGTATAAGTATCATTTCACAGAGAATAGTAGTTACAGAATTTTATCTCACTTGGCACTTTCTGTTTAAATTGTAGAAATTACATCTTCTGTACTTATGGTGGTACTGCAGTACTCATAGTTAATTGGTGGAATACCAAAACTGAGTACTAAACAAATTTTTCCCATAAGGAATAATGTAGTGAATCACAAGGCAGCTGACACTGACAAATTCTTGCTTGTTCAAATGATGGGTACTGGGACAAAATTTTCACCTCAGAACACATTGAATACCAAATTTGATGAATTTCAAAGCAGTTGAGTACCAAGGCACCACTGTATTATGTTCATTGGTGGAAAAATAAAGTGTCAAAATTATATTTGGTCATTCCAACACAAGGAAATTTGAGAAATCATATGCCTTCACCCTACTACTTCATGTATAGCACTTGTTATGTATTAAGGAAAGTGGTAGTAATGGCCAAGTATTCATGCTATATTGCATGATTGCTACATAGGCACAAGACTATACCCAAATCCAACAGGTATAAAAAATATTTCCATGTTGGATCCAAATCATTGATTATTTTAGATTGGAATGCTGCATACCTTTAACCAGTTGTATTCCATTTAGTGAAAAATGGAAGGATATGAGCTTTAAAAATGACTGACAAAAACAAGAATTTAACAACTAGCTATCACACACATGCATACAATGTCACAAACATAACAGGGATAAAAGTCTCCCACCTCAGCCCACCTCGGGTGAGGTGGTAGGCACAATTTGAATCAGTTCACCAAACCGATAAAAATCGCCCCTGGTTGCCCCTGCCCACTCCCGTCCGGTCGCCTCTTCCAACCACTCACTCGGCCCTTCTGATCAATCAATGGCTGAGGGAAGAGGAGGAGAAGACTACTCCATGTGGAGACCGCGGGGTTTCCCTCACGGATCTTCTGTTGCTTTGAGCAGCTCCTCACTCACTCCCTCCGTCAGAGCTAGCAGGCTGCGTCCAAGGCTGTCCAAGCTCAGCCCCTCCCTCCCACCCCACGCCCTCAGGGCTGCTGCTTTGACTCAGCTGCTTGAGACTTCTAAGGCTCTCAATTGGCATTGAGTGCAGTGCCTTTGGCTCTTCAAGGCAGGAGATTAACCACGCGGTGCCCACCGAGCTGCTTTGACCTCCTTGCCTCCTCACTCCTGGTGCTACGATGAACTTGCGCTGCCTTCTCGCTGTGCAAGGTAAGACAGTGGTAGGAAAGGAGAGGAGGCTACAGCTAGGTTCCTGCACCTGGAACAGCTTTTGGGATGGGGTGTGGAGGGTGGCTTTGTGGTGAAAATGATGAAGAGCCTGGGGGTCAGTTGGAATAGGAGCTGAAGCTTTAGGAACCGTAGTCTGACAGATGACAGAAATTTATTATGAGGGAATAGTATGAACTGTTGAGGTAATTCCCCATTAGGAGAAAGAGCGCATACAGGAAGACGTATTTGAGAGTGGTGTTTGAATAATACACACACACCACACAGATACACTGTACAGTAAATGTAGGTTTTTACTTCCAGAAACTTTTAAGCAAAGTTCAAACACAGTCCAAAGTCATTCACAGGTTAAATCAGTCAGTTTTCAGTCCAGGGATAATCCAATAACAAATTCCGGTATCAAAAACAGTTCAGTATCAGACTTATACCAAATCCAGGAATAACAGTCCATTAGAAAAACAGCAAAACTCTCCAACAGAAGAAAACAGAGACTTACTGAGACTTCTTCTGAGACTAAGACTAAACAACCCAGGTTTCTGGCTCCATCTTATGGCCGTTTGAGTAACCACACCCAATTGCAGTTTTTAGCATGCTCTTAAAGAGACAGTATTAAAATGTCTATCCTGGTTTATATATTTCCATCCCAAATAGCTATTAGGTTACTTACATTCCTAACATTCTCCCCTTTTGGGTAGGACAATATACACAACCTTACATTCTAAGTCCATAATCTTTACAGCAAGCCTTATGCTTTATAGAGCCTTGGGCCTTTGTAAAATGATCTGCTATATTGTTTTCTGACATACAGTATTCCAGCTTAATCATTTTACTTTGCACACATTGTCTCACATTTAAATATCTTAAATCTGTATGTCTTGTTCTTGTTTTAACAGCAATATTTGAAGCCATCTGTATTGCTGATTGATTATCTTCATAAACAACAATTGAATCTGTTACATTAATTCCCATATCAATCAATAATTGCTTATATAAAACTAAATCTGTACATAGTAAAGACAAACATGAGAATTCAGCCTCCATTGTTGACAAACTTAGATGTTTCTGTCTAATAGACCTCCATCCAATCAATGCTTTTCCCAATAATAATACTGTACCCGATGTAGATTTTCATGTATTTATGTCTGTAGCAAAACTTGCATCAGCATATGCAGTTAAATTCAATTCATCTTTTGGCTCCAAATACAATGCATAATGCATTGTTTGTTTTAGATGTCTTAACACACGTTTAGCAGCTTGCCGGTGCCTTTCAGTCGGCTCAGCGTTAAATATCGCTAATTAACACTGTATGCTATATCTGGCCTTGACCAATTACTGAGATAAGATAAACTACCAATCAAAGACTGATAAATGTTCTTATCAAAAACAGGACCTTGAACATCACTATAGCTAAACTCCTGGCTCATTGGTGTTTTAGCCGGTTTACAAAGTTCCATTTTAAAACTTTTTAGTAATTGGTTAATTTTATCTGCGTGTGAGATTTTGTATCCTCCCCTGGTTTTATCTATCTTTAAACCAAGATATTGTTTGATTTCTCCTAACTGTTTTATCTTAAATTTTTGTTCTAACAGTGAGATTCTTGTTCAGTTTTGGTGATTAATGCTATGTCATCAGTAAATAATAGCAACAATGAAATTACACCATTACTTTCTCTTTTGAACAAACATGGATCAGCCATGCCAGCTACAACTGTACATTGGTTCCACTCATATCCTGATTGCTTTAAGCCATAAAGACTCTTTTTCAATCTCCAGCAATCAGTTGTATTATCATTTTTGAGACCTAAAGGTTTCTTTAAATATATAGTGTGTTGCAACGGTGCATGCAGTTATGCCGTCTCTACATCCAAGTGATTTATAATGTATTTCTCCTTAGCTGCCCACACTAATGCTGCTCATAATGTTGTAGTCTTCAGACTAGGTGCAAACACTTCATCAGAGTCATTTGCTGTCTGATTGAACCCTTGTGCTACTAAACTGGCTTTATGGGTAACAGTCCCATCCACACCTGCCTTCAGTTTATAAATCCATTTACATCCTATGGAATATTTACCTGGTGGTAACTTAATAGTTTTGTATACCTCCAGTCTTTTTAATGATTCCAGTTCCTTATCCATTGCTACCTGCCAAGCAGCCTGATCCTTAGCAGGATACAGTTTTAGTTTACTATAGTTAACTTGGAACTATATTCACATATCTATCAGGTGGTCGTGTTACACGGGTTGAACGTCTTGGTAATACAGGGCTTACTATCATTGCTGGATTCCTGTTCCAGTTTATCCCACCCAACGTGCTCAAGAAATTTTGCATTAGCACTACAATAAACATGAGCTGTGCTTTGATCCCAAAATCTAAATGATCTATGGTTTGCCTCATAACCCACAAAAAATAACTTCTTAGCTCTATGTTGCCCTTTCAGTCTTACTTGTGAGGGATTATCTACCCATGCTGGAGCTCCAAATGTGTGTAGGTAACTTAAATTTGGCTTTCTGCCATGCCAACGAGTGAATGGCAATTCTCCAGTTGTTGTGTTAACTACATTGTTTAACACATGATTACTACACATTATGGCCTCACCCCACATTGTTTCAGGTAAACCTGAATCAGATAACATAGTGCGAGCCATGGCTTGTAATGTTTGCCCTCTTTGTTCTACAAAGAAATTATGTGGTCTGTAAGGTGCAGAACGTTTATGCTCAACACCAGCCAATTTCAACATAGTTTGGAATCTTTTGTTAACAAACTCAGTCCCATTATCAGTAACTAATATAATTACTTTACTTTTCATTTTTCTCTCAGCAAACCTTAGCCAGTTAAAGAAATGTTGGAATGTTTCTGTTTTGTTTTTCATAAGATAGCAGAAACCGTATCGTGAATAATGGTCCATTATACTCAAAATATAACAGGCATCTCCTAAACTTGGTTTTTTAGGACCAATTATGTCAGCAAACACAACCTCTAAAGGTTCTTTGGTCTTAAACCCATTTAGTCTGTTTGCAGGAGTAACCTTGCTTTTCTCTTGGCTACAAGCATTACAGTTTAAATACTTGCTACAGGGTTTCAGTTTTACTCCCTCTGACAATTTAACAGTTTGTTTGAGCATTTTGAAATTAATGTGCCCTAGACGTCCATGCAGTAAATGTCTACATTCATCATGTGGCTTAACATTGTTATAAACTGAGTTAGCCATTTTCAACTGGTCATCATGTATTACATATAAATCATTTTCTAAATTAGCAGTAACACTTTTACCCTCTTTCTCTATTATACATTTATCTCCCCTAAAGGTTACTACATAACCAAGATTAACTAAAGCCCTTACTGATAATAAATTAAATTTCAGTTTAGGTACATATAACATAGTTAAATGTTCGTTTATACAAAAACAATATGCATTACATTGACCAGATGCTTTAATCTTCCATCCATTTGCCAATGATACATGTTGTTTACTTGTGGACATCTTTACAAACCTTTTTCTATCTTTAGTAATGCATTGCGATGCTCCACAATCAACAACTCACAAATCATGGTTTACAGTTGAATTGCTAGACATAGCTAAACTAACATTCTTCTTAGCCTTCTGGTGATTACCACTATTCTGTTGTTTTCCTTTTTTACAGAATTTAGCTGTATGTCCCCTAGCCCCACAAGAAAAACATTTCCTAACAGTATATGCAGTTGAAGATAAATCCTCTTCTTGTGGTTGTTCCTTCCTCAGTTGGTCCCTATCCAGCCGACTTCTTGCTTCTTCTAACAATCTTCCAGTTATGTCAGTCAATGTCAGTTTATCTCTGGGCAGGACTTCCAGTGAAGATACGTAATCATCATAACTTTCATCCAGTGAGGAAAGAATGATGTAAACTTGATGCAGCTCTGAAAATATCAGTTCTTTTTCATGTACCTCTTGAAAAGTTCTTTTCATTAAGTTTAAATGAGCTAACATATCTCCACCTTTCAGAAGATGTGCTCTAAACAGTTTACGTGTAAGATGTATGTGTGCACCTACACTGTCATGAACATAAATCCTCTTCAAATTCTCCCAACACCTAGCAGCAGACTCTTCTCCATGAATATGGACTAGTTGCTGGTCACTCAGTGTTAGTCCAATTATACAAAGAGCTCATTCGTTGTTCTGTTTAAAGTCAACAAGCTTCTTGGCATCGTCCTCATAAGCTGGATCCCAAGCATTTACATCCGATGGATCTTGAACTACAGTTCATAAACCTTCTCTACGCAAAAGTAGACTGAACTTCATAGACCAGGAAACATAGTTTGTTCCATCCAACCGGTTTATCAGTGATAGACTTGTGTCTTGTGCCATCTTTACCAGGATAGTAACCCACAATTAAACACTAAACAGCTGTCTGTATACAGTACTGTGCATTCACAACAACTCTCAGTTATCTGAGCCTGGTATGGCTGGTCCCATAACCAGTGTTGAGGTAATTCCCCACTAGGAGAATGAGCGTATACAGGGAGACATATCTGAGAGTGGTGTTTGAATAATACACACACACCGCACAGATACACTGTACAGTAAATATAGGTTTTTACTTCCAGAAACTTTTAAGCAAAGTTCAAACACAGTCCAAAGTCATTCACAGGTTAATTCAGTCAGTTTTCAGTCCAGGAATAATCCAATAACAAATTCCGGTATCAAAAACAGTATCAGACTTACACCAAATCCAGGAATAACAGTCCATTAGAAGAACGGCAAAACACTCCAACAGAAGAAAACAGAGACTCACTGAGACTTCTTCTGAGACTAAGACTAAACAACCCAGGTTTCTGGCTCCATCTTATGGCCGTTTGAGTAACCACACCCAATTGCAGTTTTTAGCATGCTCTTAAAGAGACAGTATTAAAATGTCTATCCTGGTTTATATATTTCCATCCCAAATAGCTATTAGGTTACTTACATTTCTAACATGAACGCCCCCGTATCCGACTAGATTACTAGAAGAAAAGATCCAGAGACACCTGTGAGGCAGAGAATTTCATAGACCAGTCACAAAAAATGGGCGTGTCATAGAAACAGCATAGGTCTCATGTGTCTGATAACCTGGTCTCTGTTGAATCTGAAAAAGTGTTAAGTTTCCTAATTCAGGGGTCTCCAACTGTGCTACTAAATATCTTCATCCCTATTAGGAGACAACCTGCTTAATTTTATGTCAATTGTATTTTTAAGTCATCTTCAAAAATAGCTCCATGTAGAATGTATTGCAATAGTCTGGTGGTTTGTTTGTTTTATATGCCATCCCTCTCATTAATAAGGTGACTCTGGGAAGCATATGATAAGGATACAAATTACTGTGGTAACAACACTGACTGACTTGCATCGGCCCTCATCCACTGCTTGAACAGGAGCTGGGAATTCAAGATAATTCCCAAGTAACAGACCTGCTCCTTCAGGGGATGGCAACCCTGTCCAGAATTGGATAACCTTGGAATTGGATAAAGTGAAAGGTCACTCTCCTCCTATGAACAACATTCCCATCTTGCTGAAATGCATGTTAACCTTTTTATATCTAATTCATCTGTTTCTAATGGTAAATAAGGATATCCATAATATTTCCTGCTTTGAGTGGCAGTATACATTGACTATCACTGGAACATTAATGATACTCAATCTCAAACTGATTTCCCCCAATCGTTTTATGAAGATGTAGTATAAAAGTCAATGCCCCTTCTCAATGAAGTATTGATGAGAACTGTTTGTTTCAGAACTACTGTGAACTGGTATTTTGAATTGTCACAGTTGGCCCAGAAGAATGCCATCATAGTTACTAAACACTGCAAAGAGGTTTAATATGACCAGAAAGAACTTTCCTCCAGATCCCACCATAAGTCATTTTGTGCAATTTCACTCTGATGCCAAGATCCGAATCTCATCTAGAAGGGATTTGGGTTATCTAATTCATTTGTTATCCTCTGTTGCTGAAGCCTAATCTCCAAACCTCCCACCACCACCACCAAAAAGAAAGAAAAAAGAAAACAAGTTGGAAGTTGCCCAGTGTAGCTGGATCTAGAGAAATCCTTTTTAGAACAAATACACCATGCCTCTTTGGAGACAGATGCTATACCATCATTTCCTCAAAGAGGTATAAATCACCATTCAGATTCAGCTGTACCTCTACTGGTTTCCCAAATAAATGAGAGGGGGTATAGGTCAGCCCAAAGCTGACACAATTCGTAACTATAGAGAACCTTGTCTGTTTCTTTCACTAGCTTAAAAGAATCCCAAATAATCTCTCAAGATATTGCCACAGTTATCTCTTTAAAGATGGGTCAGGGCTGACTCTTAAATTAAGATGCAACCAGTTGTCTCTGTTCAAGAGATTTACTCCCTTGCTTGGCTTGGAGCCTCATACAATGTCTTTGCTCTGCTGTTTTCAGTACTTGATGGTACAGGGGCTGGGAGTCCTTACATTATCCTCATCTGGCCGCTCCAGATGCCGCCTATTTTTTATCAGCTTCATGTGATTTCTAGTTTGGTATCTGCTGATACTGGCATTTGATAGGGTCAACTGGAGCAGCTTCTTCAGAGTCATCTTCAGACTCTGAGTCCTGGAACCTGGCAATGAGAGTTTTTATACTTTAGGGTCATACTAGCCTTTTGAATTTGTTCATTTGTCTCAAAATAACATATACGTTGTTCTCAGGGTAAAAAAAATGCAACTCTTTATCCATGTATGGCTTGTCAGGATGCAGCAAAGTAAGGTTATTGGTGGGTGTAGGTCAGTTCTACAGTATATGTGTTGTGCATGCCAGTGAATATGATATCTGAATATTGGTGCTAAAATTTAAATTCACTTTTAAAATATTTTATTTTTAGAGTATTAATCCACCTGTCCCACCACCCCCACCACCTGTCTTATCTGCTGCAATAATTGCCTCTAATCCTACGTGCCTGCCTTTGGGGTCAATTCAGAAGTCAACATCTGCATTGACCGAGCAAATATCACATTTGAGAGCACAGACAAGACCAAGTGTGTAAGTGAAACTAGAATTTATTGGCAATTAATGGAAAGGATTATTAAAAATTGCCAAAGTAATGAATTGACATTGTTTGACTTTTCATTTGGTGTCTTTAATTAAGAAAAAGCCACAAGACATGTTTGGTTTTGATATATTGCAATTTTTATTACCTTCTCAGACTTCTTACTGATAGTATTTAAGTAAAGTTTCCTTCATTTTAATATAATTTGGTGATTTCATGAATATCTTGGTATAATTTTCTTATTAAAAATATGGGAGTGGTTTCCCATTATTATTATTTTCCAAGATGCTTTCTGATTCCCTAGATATATTTTGTTGTGGCCTCTTTCTAAGCACTAATCAGCTCCAACTTTTTAAGATCAGGCAAGGTCACTTAAGTGCTGCTATCTAATCAGGCAACAGTATCCTATAGTTTTGTAAATTGTATTCTTTAAAAAAAGAAGAGTTAAAGAAGTCTATGAAAATACTAAATTGTGAAGTAGTATAAGCAACAGTAAATTGCTGGTTAATATTAGAAATGATGCTAAACATTTTGGCATATCCTTAGTAAATTTATATAAAATTTCAATGAAGTGCAATTTTTTAATTATAATACATTTTGGCTCAAACTCAAAATTTGCATATTATTCTACATGCCTTCTTGCCCATGCATTAATAGATGGTTTTGTCTAAGACCATTCATACATAAAAGCCTCTCTTTTAAAAAAACCCCAAAAGTACTTCAATAGCTCCTGAAGTAAAGGCAGCCCTTCTTTTTGCCTGCAAGTTAGATAACCAGCAGTAAGTAACTCTTCAAGTTTTTGAGATGTGTAATTAGAAAAAAGTATAGCAGTAGTGATTATACTTACTGTGACTAGTTATTGGACATTTGAAAAAGTAAAACCTTAAGAAACCCCTTGGGAGGGATAAACAGTTTTGGAGAGAACATTTTATATATCTTTTTTTTGATTATAGTAATTTATGTGATTAAAATATCTCTGACTATAGAGAGGAACAACTTTTCATGCTAAACAAAACCAACACATTTTATTTTCAAGCAGAAATGATTCTATAAAATATGCAAATTGCAACATTTGAAATTAAAATAAAGACATAAAGCAAACAGATATTTTGATGTTCTGTTCCTTAGCTTGCAGTTCATTAAGAATGATTCCTTTTCTAGGTATATTGCTATTTATCCATACACTCCTAGAAAAGAAGATGAACTGGAATTGAGAAAAGGTGAAATGTTTTTGGTGTTTGAACGTTGTCAGGATGGCTGGTTTAAAGGAACTTCCATGCATACCAGCAAAATTGGTGTATTCCCTGGAAATTATGTGGCACCAGTTACAAGGTATGATGTTCAATCAGTTATACTTCAACAAATTTCAGAAATAAAATGTTTTGAAAATGTGTATATAATGGGACTGAATGATCTATTTAACAAGAAGCATAATGTTTACATTATTTTTAATAGGCCAATGACAAGTGCCTCCCAAGCAAAAATACCTGTATCTACTGCTGGCCAGACAGGGCGAGTAGTGACCATGGTCAATGCTTCCACTGCTGGAGGAACAGTGCAAAAACTTCAGGGAAATGGTGTGACAGTGACTTCTGATACAATACCAACAGTCTCTGCTGCACATATACAAAAGAGTCCACAATCCAAGATCATTATGCATATGTCCAGTCAAATGACATTGAATCAAGCTCGCAATGCAGTTAGAACAGGTAAAATAATTTGTTTCTTGACATAGGCAATATACATATAAAGAATGCCCTGCAGCTTGATAAATCTTAACATTTATAGAGGAAAGAGGGTGCAGCAAATATGGTGTACTTGATTTACAATAGTTTGTTTAGTGACTGTTCAGAATTACAATGGCACTGAAAACAGAGATTTATGACCGTTTTTCACACTTATGATCGTTTTAGCATCGCCACGTGGTCATGTGATTTACATTTGGATGTTTGACAGCTGACTCACATTTATGACAGTTGCAGTGTCCCAAAGTCATATGAGCTTTTTTGTGAACTTCTGACAAGCAAAATCAATGGGGAAATCAGATTCACTTAACAACCATATTACTAATTTAACAACTGCAGTGATTCACGTAACAAATGGGGCAAAATTCACTTACCAACATGAATTTTGGACTCAGTTGTGGTCATAAGTTGAGGACTAACTGTATTTAGTATTTGTGGAGATAATATACAGATTTACTTGGTGACCTTGGCTGAGTTATATTTCAAGGGTAACATTGTTTTTTCATACATATTGTAGGTTTTAAAAGAGTGGAATATAAATATACGGCTAATATGTCACAATCTGAAAATATATTCTTTTTCATTAGCCATTACAGTTTCCTTTGTCATTACAGTTGCAATTCATAGCCAAGAAAGACCGACAGCCACTGTAACACCAATTCAAACTCAGAATTCAGCATGCCTTATTCCTGCTGCTGTAATTATTCCACACCATCCTGTTGCCTCCCAACAGCTACAACCTCAATTTCCAAATGCTGCTGCTTATATCACAGCTGTAAATATCAACCGAGCAAATGTCCCATTGGCTTGCACAACTTCTTCATTAAGTTCTCCTAGCACTTCTGTATCGGTAGATGGAGATTCAAGTGGGAAAATTGTGACTGTTCATACGGGAGCTCCAGCTTCCCCAGAGAATACCTTGACTGCTGGAGGTACTCCTATGCTGAGTAAAACAGAGAGAGATGGAAAGGTAGGCATACTATTTTTGTTCTTTATGATCTCGGTGTTGACCATGAAAACCCAAACAGGTCTAAATCTAGTCAATGTTTGAATGGGAAATTGTGAGAAATTACTTCATGGTAATACTTCCATATTTTTACCAAAAATATCATGGACATCTACAAAATCATTAGGAGTCAAGCTCCATGCAGGTACTTTTTATGTCCTCTGCAGAATCCTTCAATCTTCCCACAGTTCTCTGTTAATTACTTGTCTATTAATCTTAGAAAAAATAATTGCCTTTATTTTCAACTATTTTTGATTAGGTATAATATTACCATTTGAAACAATGTCTTTGGTATGACATAGTGGCAGATTCAACATTTATTAATAGTAAACCTATATAATAATTATATGTTCTCTAATCAGTTGTAATTTCAGTTGTAATTTCTAAATTTGCTTTCTAAAATTACATTAAGTTTTCCAATAATCAGAAAATCTTAGATTACAGTAGCTTCTTTTAATAGCCACCTTTTATTTTCAAAGTACTGCAGATGTAGAATGGCTGTTGATTGATCATTATTGGAATATATATTTCAGGGTTTTGTAGTTGACCCAAGTTGTAAACAAAGAAGACACTGCATGCTTTAATATTTTTTTCCATTTCTGTATGCAATATAACATTTTGGTTCCCTGAAGCAATGATGCCACTAACTTTTAAACATTTTAGGAGATATTTTATATGTATGATAAGTGCACTAGAAATGCTTTTTCAATAATAAAATGATACTCAAATATAATATCAGTTGAAGAGAAAATCAGAAAAGTCTAGGATAATGTTTCAATAATTTCATCGAAGTTTAAAAATAGAAAGAAAAGACTCATACAAACTAAAAAATAATACCAAAAAAGAAAAGGTGGAAAAAAAATATGTAAAAGGGAAAATATATAAATAAATAACTTCCCTTTTCATCAAGAAATGTAAAAACAATTTTAATAACTTGTTACCTTCTCCAACATTTCATTAAGTTCTCTTCATCATACAGTATATCTTATATCTATTAGCAAATAATAAAGCCTTAAATCTAAATCAGCAAAAAGCAATTAAGAACTACCAAAAGTAATTGTATGTATTTTAATCTTAAACAAATGAATCAATGTCATATTCTTTTAATTTACTTTATACAGTAACATCATTTTGTCTAAAAATACAAAAGGTTTTCCTATCTTAAATCGTTAGTCTCATCATTCAATCAGAAAAGTTTCAATGAAAATCTATCAGAAACAATAATGTTAGAATTTAATCCTATCAAATAAGGTATCACAAATTAATTTCTTATCATATTCTCTACATCTTCCTTAGAAATGTCTTTGCAAATTTAATGCTTTTTTCAATCTCAAAACTATAGGTTATCACTTTCTCTAAAGTACAAAAAAATCTTCACGTATCTTTTCTACAAACAAATCTTTAAGGCCTCATCATTCAGTCTTGGTTGAAAGAAATCCAGTAAAGGCTGCTAGAAAAAAAACATATATATTTTAATCTTGGTTGAATTAACAATCTTTATAAAAATTGTTTTCATTTTAAAATTTTTGAAGTTTATTATTTTTGAGTAGTGTCCCAGGTTCAGATTTCTTGTTATTCTCTCTATCTTTTTAAAGGAATTTTTTCATTGGTAATAAGATATCTCATTTGTACATCAAAAATAAGAAAGTGTCCAAAGTCATCCAAGTAAAGAGTTACTTGGAGTTCTGATTTATTATTTGTGTGTCCCTTTTAGCCATTAAAACATCAACTGGTTTCAATTGGAGATCCTGTATAATATCTTTGTAAATATTATTCTTGTATCTTGTAAATTTTAAATCCACATCCAAAACAGCCTGATTCTCAGTTTTATCCTCCTTTTGTGAACCAATGTTTATAGTAATCTAGACAGAAAATTCTGAGTTCATTGTTGCCAAATATCCTTGAATTTAAACTACTTTTCTCCTTTATTAGGGGCTCTTCTTTAATTATAATGTTTAGTTCTTTCTGGTGGTGTCTAGTAACCAGCTTTCAAGGTCTACTTCTTATCATTTTTTTTCTAACTTAGGATATTTTCCCAGGGAAATATTTCTTATACTTAGATTAAAAATCATATATTTTAACAGAATTTTAAACTGCAGGAAATATTCTTATAACATTTATAAAGCACTAAATAAAAATTATTTCATAATCTTATTTCCAGTCAATCTCAATTCTCAATCAGTTAAATTAATGTTCTAAAACACCCTTATTTCCAAATAACAAATCTTAAACTTACAGGAAACTTCTTTCATTGAAAATTTCCCCATGTAATAAAACTTATTCTCTGAAGGTTCTTAATATTTAAAAAGCTATTTACAAGCTATTTACAGTGAAATTGATTAAGAAAGTGCCTCTTTGAAAGCTCCAAATTGCTAACTCTCATGGAATTCCCAGAAAATGGGGACGCCTGGACAAGACTTCAGGGCTTGCAAAAGGCCAATAGGGTTGGGGTCATCCTGATAGCTTGAAGGGGTTATAGCAGAGAACGCACATCTCCTGGCTCCTGCCAACCAGCATTCTTGGCTGACAGGACCCACAACATGCCCAAACTGCCTGACTGAATTGGATGGCTAGAAACAACTGGAAGAAAACGGTCACTTAGATAACCTTGCCCCAAGCTATGCAGGGCTTTAAAGGTGATAACCAACACTTTGAATTACACCCAGAAACATATTGGCAACCAATGCAGCTCACAAAGCAGTGATGTTACATGCGTTAAATATCCAACACTCTTTACTACCCATGCAAACACATTCTGCACCAGTTGAAGCTTCTGAATTTTCTTCTAGGGAAGCCTTATGTACGGCACATTGAAGTAATCCAGATGAAACGTCACAGGGCCATGTGTAAGCAAACTTATGTCCCCTTAGAAGCCAAGGTATAAATTCTTGGTGCTGTAAGCCAAGAATTTGTTATACTATATGATATATTGTATATATGGGGACCATTTTTGCTTAAATTTGATTAAAATTATGGTGTGAATGTATACTGTTAATTTTGACATTGTTATGCATTCCCCAAATTTAAGCTTCCATATCTTAGTGGCTTTTATTTCATTTTTAATCTGTATTATGGATTTTTTCCCATTAATGTTTAGTATTAATGTACTATATGTGTTTGAACTTAAGCTCTGGGTTGCACAAATGCTATTTGTATTTAAGTAAAAAATATCCCCTTAGAAATAATGACTAATGAAAGTTTTCAATAAGTAAAATAATTTGTGGAAATTATAACCTCACTTCCCTTGCAGGATGATCCTAAGGATTGCAGGTCTGTAATTTATATGGTTTATAGCTGTTAGTAGTACACTGAGACTAATTTCTTGAAAAAAATATTCCCAAATGGTTTTACTGTATCACACCACCACTCCACATGCTTTGTTGTCCCGATGTATGTGAAGCACTTTAAATTTATATTTTTTTATTTATTAAATTTATATGCTGCCAATCTTACTGTTGAAGATACCCTCAGTAGCTTCAAGTACAAAACTGATTACTTGATTGCCAAATGTAAAAATCCACATTCATATTTCCTTTTTTAAAAAATTCTATTTTATAGAAAGAAAAAAAGGGGTTGCTAAAGTTACTTTCAGGAGCATCTACTAAGCGTAAACTTAGAGCATCACCACCATCATCCCCAACTCTCGAAGTTGAGCTGGCAACTACAGAACTCTCCCTTCAGGGTGCTGTAGGGCCAGAAATTCCATCGATTTCTGGTCAAGGAAGAGCAGACACTTGCTCCATGGACAGTGAATCCCCTACAATAGTGCTGGAGAATACTCACTGCAAAACAAGTTCTTTGGATTCTAATATACCTGTAGTTCCTCCTCCAAGGCAACCATGCTCATCATTGGCTCCAGTGTCAAATGAATCCAGATCTGTAATCTATGAACGGTCAGTCATTTTCCTGGATAAAAAAGTTTTCTTACATTTCATCAAGGATTGCTAATTATTAAAAATGATGGAAGAAATTTTATATTAATATTCTCCTTGAATTGTATTCTGTTTGAGATGTTCATTTATTTCTAATATATTATATAAGCAGGCAGTTGCTTCTAATATTGCTTGTTGGATGGTGATCTGATTAGGGGACTAGAGGCTAAAGTATACAATATGAAGAATGGTTGTAAGAATTGGGTACGTTTAGTTTAATGAAAAAGATTAGGGGTGATACGATAGCAGTGTTTTAATATCTAAAGGCTTGCTACAAAGAAGAGGGTGTTAACTTATTATTCTCCAAAGTATCTGAAGTGAGAACAAGAAGCATTGTGTGGAAATAATCAAGGAAAGAACCAACCTAATTAGAACAATTAAGCAGTGGAATCAGAGGTGGTCTTCAGCAGGTTCTGACCAGTTCTGGAGAACCAGTAGCAGAAATTTTGAGTAGTTTGGAGAACCGGCAATTACCACCTCTGACTGGAGATTTTACAGTATCCTTCCCCTGCCATGACCATCAAGCCACACCCAAAGAACCGGAAGTAAAAACATTTGAATCCTACCACTGAGTGGAACGGGTTGCCTTCAGAAATTGTGGGTGATCTATCACTGAAGGTTTTTAAGAGACCAGACAACCATTTGTCTGAAGTGACATAAGGTTTCCTGCTTGGACTATAAGACTTCCAAGGTTCTTTCCAACTCTGTTAATCTATGAAACTGGATATTGAGGGGAGTTTTATGGCTGGCATAAAAGGAAGAATAATTCCCTTTATTAAAGAATTTTTTTTGTTACACTGCATACTTTCAAGGACAAAATATCAAGCATAGCACAAATTATCCCAAATTCCTGATGGAATTTGCTGCAGATTCCTATTGGAATCTGAACTGATATGGTGAAAACTGAATTACAAAATGTAAATTAATAATGAAATTTACAAAATATACAAAATGAAAATGGTAATAGCCAGAAGAGATACAATGCACATGTTGTCTGTTATTATTAATTCTGAATTTATAGTTTATAGTTTGTTTATAATTATAAATAGTTCAACTAAGCTTTCTGATTCTTCTGCCTTTTTTTCTAAACAGTGGAAGTATAAATGTTTTTTAAAAATCTTATTCTACAGATACAGAGTAGTGGTATCCTACCCGCCTCAGAGTGAAGCTGAACTTGAACTTAAAGAAGGAGATGTTGTTTTTGTTCATAAAAAACATGAAGATGGCTGGTTCAAAGGCACATTGCAGCGAAATGGAAAAACTGGCCTTTTTCCTGGAAGCTTTGTGGAGAGTATCTGAGAAAACTAATTTGAAACATTTCAACTCTCACAGCACTATAAAACAAAGAGATTGCAGCCATGGAAGGCTGGAGCATAAACAAATTTATGTTTATGTTTTTCAGTATCCTTACAGCACAATTCTGGTAGCAAAGATTAAAATAGTTGCTTTTTATCATTTTGAATTATTGAGTGTAACGTGTGCCTTGTAATGTCTCATTTATTCTTCAGAGGATTTTAAAATGTGTGTGTGTGTGTATACACATACATATGATAAAAGCTTATTGTTTACAAGGCTGTAACTAATTTATTCATTTTTCTAAACTTGAATTCTGTTTAATAGCTAAAGTTTGGTGATTATGATTAACAAGTTATTTATAAGATAAGGAGAAGCTGGATTCTTTTCTTGCAAAAAGATATAATGTCAGGTGGCTTTTTCCAACAGTGGGTGACAGTGAAGTAGGTTTTTTTTAATGGGTTAATGTTGGCTATAATGATGGTGATGTGATATCAGATTGAATCATGCACACTGGGGTAAAATGATATTGTGGATTTGTTTTATTTAGGGTGAGAAATTATCTGTCAATAACAAGTCTTAATGTCTCAGATAGAAACATTTCTGATGAAACATTTGTAAAAGGCAATTAAACAGCTATGTAGCATTGTTAACATTTTTCAAAGTGAGAATAGAATATATAAAATATACCAGAAATTGGGAACATCAACTTCCACTAGCATCTATTTGTCGAGTAGTTTTGGATATGTGTTTTCCTTTGTAGATTTGTCTAGTTCTTTGAGTCCATAACATAGAGAATGTAAACGAGTTAAGATAGATTTAATGCAAAACAACTGGAAGAATGGAATATAATTGTGATAATTGATAGAATCAAAATTTAAATTCAGGTTGCACTCACTGTCTAAATATGCCAATAAATGTTCGCTTCTTTACATTTTCAAACTGATTTGCATGGCTGAGACAAATTACCTTGTTTGAGCAATAGTGGTGGTAAGTGATATACTTGTGTTTTTAAAGTAAAGGCTGTAAGAACACTGTGAAATTTTTGCTAATTTTGAAACTGTTGCTATTTTTATATGTCTTGAGTTGTCAATGTCTTGCATGCATTATCACATTCATACAGGTATACAAAACAGCGCATGACTGACTATAGAGTTTATTATACTGTACCGTTATGATGAACTGGATGTTAAATAACCAGTTACCTGCTAGTGTGAAAACCACTGACCAAAAACTAGTGAGTAATTGGATGCTACTGTATAAAGAATATTCTCACTATTCAGCATAATTCCAGCCATGGATATTTTAAAGCACAAGAGTTTTGTGGAGCATATTCTCTACTTAATTTCAGACTTTGAAGAAGATTCAAATATTCAGTTTCCCCTCTCATTATTTTTGCATTCTTAGTTTGGAAATAAATGTTCTAAGGAAGGAAAACTGCCATTTAACTTTTTTTTATCCTTTGCTGAATATCCTCTGCTGAGAAGCTGTTCCCTCCTAAACAATGAATGTTATCAATTATAAACCAATGAACATTACAAATTATTACCAATGAACAATTATATTTAAAAATTATAGCCTTTTAAAACTTAGAATCTGTTGAGGTGGACTAGTAGAAATCTCCTATTCTCTAGTGATCTGCTAACATTTCTGGACATTACTCTGCCTTTCCCTCTTCAAGCTAATTAGTCCTAAGAGAGAGGAGCATGTTAGCAAGATTAAAAAAATAATCTTGTGAAGTCTTTTGATCCCTTCCCAAACTGAATTCTATACCACAAAAAATGTCAAATCTCATGGATTTAGTTGCTGGGAAGGGAATGGGTTTATAATAGTTACACTGGACCTTTTAGTAGACCTGAAATTGTCATTTATTCTGTACATGATTCTTGTCAGGAAACTACGATTACAGTATTTCAATATTATCGCATATTCAAACTATTATTACTATTATTATTGGCACAAGACTATCTTCATGCCATTGCTTGACAGTGGCAATCTTGTTACATTTAGCTTACCTAATTTCTGTATAACATTTAGATTATTTTGGCAGACCTCTTCTTTAAGTATATGATAGGAAGAAATTCTATAGGTAATTACCTTGAAATAGTAACCTGCCCATGAGAAAGATTGACCTGTAAATTTCTATCTATTACGAAGCTGCTCAAGATTATGAATTCAGTTACCAAAATTGTGGGTAACCTTAAACTCAGTATCTTTTCTTTAATAACCAGGTAGTGCGAATTTAAAAATCTTTGTTTTCCGACAAGAATGAGACTTTAATATTAAAGGAAATGCATGTTGTATTAAAGTGAAGAATTCAAAATAGTTGATGATTAATGATTTTCATGTAAAACACAAATGATTTTTTAAATATATAAATGGGAGAAAATAATTGGTAGTTGAAATGGTTTCTTCCAATATCAAGTAGTTTCATTATTATTTTAATATATTGAAAACATTCCTTAAATGATACACTGAACAATACAATTCTGTGGAATTTAAAAAGCTTGGTTTACTTGAATGTTTATATGATGTACAAACTATTTGAAATGAACTTTAATAAGGAAATGCTGGCATCAACTTTCATCAGCACCTATTGACACTTATGTGTCAATCTTATTTTCATGTATTAGTAGATTTATATGTGAGAGACTACTACAAAGAATCTTCTCCACATGGTAGCATATCTGTGTGTCACAGGTACCTCTGTTTCAAGATTTTATTATATAATGTCTATCAAAAATATAAATTAATACGATAATGTTCTTACAGTATAATACATTTTCTAATAACTTTTTAAGAAAATGGATCATGTTTTATTTTAAAGGCTTGTTATACACCGTACAACAATTTTTTAAAATGCAGTTTTCATGTCACATGACCTTTATAATGTTTGTGGGACTTGGATTGGTTTTTAGGATTGCGTGTAATTGAATTTTTGAACAAAAAAGCCTTTACACTCATTTTGGAGTACTTTCTTAAAGAAATTCTGTGGAAAACTTTAATGTCTATATTTGAGGTCCAGTGAATGTTACATGTTTTTATCTGTTAAATTTCATTCCTAATAAATATTTTCTTAGCAAAGCACTTAAATGCATTGTGTTGTATTCTGGGAACTGTACTGGGGGATGAACAGTAGAGGAATATAGGGAACACACAATCACCTTAAGGTACAGATCCAGGGTTCTGGAAAGTGGCTTAGTTCCAATTTTTATATATGTAGCTCACTGATAGACATGTATTTATCCCAAGCATGTTTAAATTCTGTTGCTTATGATTGATTCACTCCCTCTGCTGAAATTGGTTTCTTAGATTTCTTAGCTGTTTTCCTTAGATCTCACGGTTTTACAGACACGCATTTTTATGCAGAGGATGGAATCGTCTAAGAATGCGAGATCTGGATCCTTGGGTGCGCTCCCTGCCTCCCTCCCCATTGGTGGGCAAGCACCCCAACTCCCTTGGGGTGATCCTTGCAGCCCATACATACTTCCCTTCCTACCCAAATTCCCGTGGGGTGGCCAGTGCCCCAAGCTCTCCATCTCTCCATCCGTCTCCACAGTGGCACAATTAGCAAAGTCCAGGCAGGTTCTGCTGGATGATCCTGCCACTACCCACTAGAGCACCAAACCTGCCCAGACTTTGCCAATTACACTGCCACAGAGGCAGATGGAGAAATGAAAAGTTTGGTGCGCCAACCACTCTGTGCCTCTTGCTTGTTGGAGGTACCTTGGGGGATACCAGGCATGCAGGGGGGTGCCTGTGGGCTGTGGGGGTGACTGAAGGAGATGATTCCCAGAGATGTGGGCAGCTGTACCCACCTGTTGCCGCCACAGAGCACACCCCAGGCTCCAGCACTCAAGGCATAGGAAGTGAGTGACCATAGGTGGTATGGAGCTCCCAGGTCCCGTGATTGCACTGCCCTAGCTTGCTGAAGGGGCTTTGGCATCCCTGGCAATGGTGCAGCTACTCCAACTCAGCTGTCCTACTGCTGCCCTGACAGGCCACCCAACCGCCCTGTGTTCCCATCTCCTCCAGCCAAAACCAGCACAAAAAACTGACCCATGTTGATTGCCAGTCACTGCCACCTTCATGCCACAATCCCCAAAATGGTTCATTCGAACCAACCTCCCAGCAGTGCACTTATGATACCCATAGCGCTGCCCGGGCTGGGACCTAGAACTGTGTTCGCTTTTTTGGCAGCTGAAGCACACTGCTGGCTCATATTTAAATGAGTGCCCACTAGGACTTCAAAAACCCTCTCACAATAGCTACTATTTAGTGAGGTGCCACCTATACCGTACCTGTGCATTTTGTTTTCATGCCTAAATTGGAACCTTATTTTTTTCACCATTGAATTTCATATTTTTAGATAGCACCCAATATTCAAGTCTGTCAAGAAAGATCCTTCTGTATCTTAAGGCTATCTTTTGGAGTGTTGGCTAATCCTGCCAGCTTGGTATTGTCTGCAAATTCAGTGAGTTCCCCATTTATTATCTCACCCAAATCATTGATGAAGATTTGAAGAGTACTCATCCAAAACATTGATAAAAATGTTGAAGGATCTAAAACAGCCTTGGGATGCATATAGATACAATTCCATTGAGGACTACACATTGAGTGTGGTTGGTCAGTCAGTTACAAATCCATCTGGTAGTGATACTGTCTAACCCACATTTTTCTATCTTACCAAGTAGTAGGTTATGGTCTACTTTATCGAATGCCTTACTGAAGAAAATTATATCCACAGCATTCCTCTGTTCCACTAATTTTGTCACGTCGTCAAAGAATACAATAAGATTTGTCTGTATGATCTGTTTTTGACAAACCCATGTTGGCTTTTGATTGTTACTTTGTTTGCCTCAAGGCGTTTGCTGATTTGTTGCTTGATTAGCTTTTCCAGAATCTTCCCTGGTATTGAGGTCAGGCTGATAGATCTATAGCCATGATGGCGAACCTATGGCACGCATGCCACAGGTGGCATGCAGAGCCATTTGTGCCAGCATGCGAGCTGCAGGCAAACTTACCTCACTGCGCATGCACATGCCTCACAGCTGATTTTTGGCCAATTTGAGTCCTTTTTTGGCCAATTTGAGTCCTTTTTTGGCCTCCCAGAGGCTTCAGGAAGGCTTCTGCAGGTTTTTCAGGCCAAAAACTAGGCCCCTTTCATCACTTCCTGTTTTTCTGGAAATACAGGAAGTGATGGAACGGGCCTAGTTTTTGGCCTGCAGAAGCCTGCAGAAGCCAGAAGAAACTCCCCAGGAACGGAGAGGCTTTGGAAACCAACCCTTTTTTTCCCCTGAATAGCCGGACACTCTCACACTGCTTCTTGGAGGAGAAGTAATCAATCGGATGAGTCCTTGGCTGGGGTGGGGCAACAGCGCAAGTTCATTGTGTAAGAACCAGCTGTTCATAACAGATAAAAGCACCACTGCTTCTTAGGCACTAATTTTTCTGTATATATACCTTTCGTGCTGAAAGAGGTTTTCTCTAGTTGCAACCTACCATTTCCCTTTTTGTGGAACTATCATCCTTTTTGAGGCTTTCTGACTTTAAGATGGCGAGGAGTAGTAGTTGGGTTATCTAAGACAAAACAAAAAAGCTGGAAACTACTAGAAACTAATGCAATATGGAAACTATATTTCAATCTTTTGGAATTAAAATTTCTAGGGGATTTTAAATTGCTAGCAAATTTTGAAGAACTTTCTTTTTGAGTTTAAAATAAGGATTGCTCCGATGGCGTTTTGTGCTTGCTGCAAAGAGAGGGTGAAATACTTTCAATTTTAACTGCTTTTGATTGGACTAGCTGTATGAGCTTTTAAAACAAAGAGGCAGAACTGAAGCTTTTTAATTCTTTTTGTATTATAGCATTGATTTACCACAAGAGGGAGCCAAAAGTATTGCTAATTATTTTTAATGTCTCACTACCATCATTAAACCAAGTGGATTTTATGCTACAAATCTATAACTCAAAAAATCTATAACTCAAAAATTGTTAATTAACTTTTTAAAATTTAAATATTTAAATTAATTTTAAAATCAAAATCAAAAATTTAAATCTCAGTTATACATTGTTAAGAATGGCTACATGAAAGAAGACAGAAAATCTAGAACTTCTAAGGCCCTTTATTAATGAATACACATCCAAAATACATGAATTAATTCAATCAATGGGAATAAAGTTTGTAATCAAGATTGATGCTCTAGCAAGGGAACTCCAGGAGGAAATCTAATGTCTGAATGAAGATATTAAACAGGTGAAGGAGAGAATGGACCTTATGAAGCAAACTGGAGAAGACAAATACTTTGTGTAAAGCTGAACTGGATGAGGTAACAATTTTAGAATCTCAAATTAAGGAATTTCAATTAAGATTTTGGGCAATTCCTGAACAACCAGGAGAAGATATCAGTCTAAGGATGGCTAAGGCTTTGACTCAGTTAATTAATAAAGAAGAAACATTTCTTGATATGGATGTGGACAAAGTATACAGTCAACTCTAGATTTGCCACCATGAGAAAGCTACCAAGGGGCGTCATAGTTCAGTTTCCAAGAAGAATAACAAGAGATTATATATTAGATTGCCACTTCAAACACTAACTGAGAATGGAAAATGTGGATATAATTATTCTGGAGGAAATTCCAGTTAGAAATTTGAGAAAAAGGAAAGTCTATGCCTTTCTTACTGACATCTTGAAGAAGAGGAAAATTTTCTTCCATTGGGATAAACAGGAAGGAGTGTTACTTAGTTATCAAGACCAAAGATTTGGATTGAATTCTATAGAAAAAGCCAATGATTTCTTGATTAGACATAAACTAATCTCAGACCTAGGCGAAGAAATGAATATAGAAAAGAAGTTAGAGGTGGAACAATCTCAAAAGTTGGTACTGAAGAAGAAGGCATGGCTAAGATAGTTGTACAGGAACCTACTACTTTGTCTAAAGATGGAGACTCAGTCTATTACATGGAACATTAACAGGACAAATGCCTCCAAGCATAAAAAATGATATCATTACTTGAAGAAACTTAATGCTGACATAACCTGCCTTCAAGAAGCACATATTAAGAAACAAGATAAGAAGTACTTAATAAATAAACGATTAGGGGAGGAATTTTTATCTGCTGCTTTAAAAAAGATTAATGGAGTTCTCTATTTAAAACCTCAACTTAAACCTAAGCTACTTATAGCACATGAATCTGGTAGATTTGTAGTAGTGGAAATTGAACTTAATGGAATAAATGCAATACTGGTTGGCATGTACAGGACAAATGATGATAAAAGTAACATTTCTAAATACCTAATGGAACAATTATTACACTTTTCGTATGAAAACTGGCTTATTTGTGGGATGGAATGGATTGACTACACCAGCTTTGGATAAATCATTTACTCGGGATTAAACCCTCCCAGGATAAATTGTTCCAAATAATTATGTGCCTCTTTGGAATATTAAAAAGGACTTACATATATGGGACAAATTTAGAGGTGGTATTCGGCAGGTTCTGACCAGTTCTGGAGAACCGGTAGTGGAAATTTTGAGTAGTTTGGAGAACCGGCAAATACCACCTCAGAGTGGAGATTTTATAGTATCCTTCCCCTGCCATGCCCACCAAGGCACGCCCACAGAACCAGTAGTAAAAAAAAAATTGAATCCCACTACTGGACAAATTGCATTTATCACTATTGGGTAGTATTTCTGTAATTAAGATGACTGTTTTGCCAAAGATGCTTTTTCTGTTCCAGAGATTACCAATACTTGCAACTGATAATCCATTTGAACAATGGCAGAGGGACAGTTCTAAGTTTATATGGCAAGAGAAAAAAACCTAGAATTAGATACAAGTTACTGCAAGATGCTAAGGAAAGAGGGGGTTGAGGTTTATCAGATTTGAAAAGAGTGGGTGAACCTCCAGAACAAGAGGCTACTCAGTTTAGAGG